GTTTTCAAATAGCAAAAACCTAGAAAAAACTAAAAAAGTCTAACTTTTGGAGAGCTGCTTTGCAAATTGTAATTTATCAATACTTGGCTCTACTGCAGATATTAAAACTTATGAAAACCTCAGAAAGTGCAAGTAAATGTTCACATAATTTTTAGCAAAAAGAGCAAAAAACACTATGTAAATAATTTTCATTGGGGGAAAAATCACAATTGGAAGCAAAACAAAAAAGTATTTGTATAAGGATGAAGAGATCATGAGAACTTTTGATTAAAAAATAATCCTTAATTAACACCACTTGGTGAGTGCAAAAAGAAACAAGTACTTTACATGGGCTGATAACACAATCTCTTATTTAAGTTAGCTACAATGTTCAGGTGCGGTATACTTTAAAAGCTAAAAATCTGTACTAAAAAACAGTTTTCTCAATTTTATAAGCCTATAATAATTTTCTTCCTAAAGAAAAACAATAAGCATTAACAACTAAAGTAACATTATAATCCACACTACTTCCTCTTAAAGAGAAAATTTCCCTTTTTTTTTTTCATTTAATGCATTGCCTCAAGGCCATGAATGCTGACCATTTCTTATGGTTAAAAGGCTTACTAGTTATAAATTCTTTTAAAAGGAATGTGCAAGTCAGCCACACTTGGCAATTTATGCATTGTGGTTTTGTGGTAGGTATTACCATTTTCTAAGGATCAAGAAAAGTACAATAAATCTGAGACAGAATAGTTCTACTTTATCAAAACATACAATTGACTACCTTGTGTATATTTTCTAATTAATATCTCATCATTTCCCAATATATTATGGCTTTAAGATGAAAACAAAGTTATTTTTCAGTGCCTCTTTTCACCGTAATTTTTGGATAGTCAATCCCGTGCATAAATATCATCTGTAAGAGAAAACAAGAACTAAGTATGATACTAAGTCCTATTTATGGGTAAAAGGAAGAGGAGAAAAGAAAATGAAAGCACTTGAAAGAACCAATTGTCATCTTATACCAACCATAAACATTCACAACAAGCCAATTAAGTCAATGGTGTAAAAAATGATAATTTGGTTAAATATTGATTTTAAATGGCATCTTAATATGAAGATTCAGAGAAACTTATAAGAAATTTCACTGACTGATCCCCACGTAGTTTCAATCCCTTACTTGTCTTCGTGTCCTCATGCTTGTTCCTTTCATCTCGCATAATTCTTTTCTTTTTAATGTCATGGCTGGCCAGCTGCGTGTGTGTGCGTGTGTGTGTTTTACAGCTTTGGGAGTGTGATAACTAAGTTCATGGGTTAGACCCTGTAAATGGGTATTTGTTACGTATAATAGAGTTCTATCTATCCAGCCATACCTCCCTCCCTCCCTCCATCTATGTAATTTAAAACATCTAGAGAAAAGCATGTGTTTAAAGAACGTACAGGATGGTCACCTAGTGTGTACTACTAAAAATAACTTCAATGTCCACCAAGGAGGAGTATTATATATTATTGCATAGCTATACAAAGTAACACCATGTAGTTTTTTGTTTATTTTTTAGGGGAATAAGATAATCAAATAATTATATGGAAAGACGTATAAGACACTATTGATTGAAAAAATGAAGATACAAAAAAAATCTATGTATGATATGATACCCTTTGTGTAAAAAAAAAGACATGCAAAAAGATACTCTTAAAACAGATACTTTTATATGAATGTATATGAAAAGCTCTATAACTATTATATACAGGCATTACAGCAGAACCTGCATGGCTGACCATCTCTCTACATAGACCACCTCCTTAAATTGACCTAATTTTCAAAGACTGGACATGCACCACATGTACGTATTAGTACAGTTGGTCTGGTTCCTCATATTGACCAGTTGGTTACAATCCCTGGAGTGGGCAACTTACAGAGGTTCTACTGTATTTTGGAGAGGAGGCTGGTAGAGGGGCACATGGATGGGAGGTGGTCCAAGAACTTTTAGTCATCTCTGCTATATTTCAATTTTGATATGCATGTTCACATATTACTTGTATAATTAAGCATAAATAATTGAGTGATTAGAGCAGGATAAATTATTTTCTCTATAAAATTGTTCCCTTTGTATTTCCCCTTAACATTACTTGCATTCTGACACGTGGATAGGAAAGTTAAGAGCAGAACAGAATGAGTTGTTTGAAAGAATCTGTACTTAGCCAATCACAGGCACTTTTGTTGTTGTTGAGACAGAGACTCACTATGTCACCCTTGGTAGAGTGCCGTGGTGTTACAGCTCACAGCAACCTCAAACTCTTGGGCTCAAGCGATTCTCTTGCCTCAGCCTCGCAAGTAGCTGGGACTATAGCCACCTGCCACAATGCCTGGCTATTGTTTGTTGCAGTTGTTGTTGTTTAGCTAGCCTGGGCCGGGTTCAAACTTGCCACCCTTGGTGTATGTGGCTGGCACTGTAACCACTGTGCTACGGGCACCAAGCCAACAGGCACTTTCAAATAACTCAACGCCTTGTGTCTATGCTGCAATTGTTAACAATGTACAGGCTAACAGTTGCAGCAAAGACTAATTATCAGGATGACTGAAACATGCGATGTATAGTCACACTATAATTTAAATGTTACTTATGGGTTTGTATGTTTAGATCTATGACTAACCATCTCTAAACTTAATCTCCTAATTTATAACCCATGCTTAAAACAAAAAAAGTCAGGTCACTTTTTTCTACACAAAGGCTAACTCAAGGTAAAGTATAACTCAAGGCCTAAAATGATTAAGTAATATGCATACACCAATGAAATCATTCAATTGATTAGAAGAAAGAGACAAAGGGGTGATGGAAAAAGAAGTAGGTTTATTATTACTATTAAACTTCAGAGTCTCTGAATAAACACAATACCTTATGAAAAGTCATGATACACAAAGGTATCGCACTATTTTCTCTGAACCTATAGTATAGTCACCTTGCTTCTGCATTTACTATGGGCCAGGTCCTGTGCTAACTGCTTACCACGTATTATTTCAGTTACTTGTCACAATATTCTTGTAGTGAGGATTAAATGAGCAGCAAGTAAAATTCTTCACACAATGTCTGACACATAGCAGTAGTACTACCATTGTGTAACCAGTGGTTCTCAATCTTCCTAATGCCGCAATGTATTTTCATTGTTAAAAGGGCTGCGACCCATAGGTTGAGAAAGGCTGGAATCTTTAACTTCATTAATTCAGCTCTCATTCTACGGCAGTCAGTTCAAAAGATGTACTGACTTATATGCACCAGTGTTAAAAAATCTTAATGATTTCCCACTGCCTACTGAATTAACTCCTTCACCTGACATTAAAAAACACTTATGACATAGCTCCACCTCCCACCATATCGCTCTTTATCCCACTATGCCCACAATTCCTAGAACATATTACAGACTTTCATTTCCACAGCTTATAAATACTCTTGCCATTCTATTGAAAGAATTCTACCTATTGTTAAGGCTCAGTAGAAATATTACCTTCTCCACACAGTTGATTTTCTCTAGCACTCTGAAGTATGTCATGTGTATCTCTACTAAGAAATTTTCCTTTGGTATTACCTGTCTGTAAGCGCATTGAAAACAAGGTCTGTTCCTTTGTATACCACAAATGTGCTTGACACAGTTGTACACACAATCTATACTCAATATGTAGGGAAATTTCACCATTATTAACAGTATCACTGAAAATAATTAATAAGGCTTGATATTCATATGCAATTCCCTCTTTAATTTCCCCTTCAATTCGCCTAATAGTGGTAATGATCCTATCATTAACTCTGCTAGTAGCTCCCTTTCCAGTCCTAACCATACTCAGTGAGACATTGTTTCTTAATCAGTGACCATGTTGACCAGGTCACTTGACATTAAATTCACTATGCGTTAACACTGCAGGAGAGAACATAAGCAAGGAGTTAGCCACATACTAGAGTATTAGTATTATCTTTTAAATTCACAGTTGGGATACAAAATTTCTCTATTCAATTTTGGGTCATCTCTAACCTAGATGAACTGAACTTTAAAATCAAAAGATATGTATGGTTATTTACCTATTTAGTAAATAACCTTATCTTTTATGGATTAATTCTGTTTCTAAATCTGTACAAATTGGTAAAAGCAGTAAATGTCCTTAAAAGCTGCCTTATCTTGGGCGGCACCTGTGGTTCAAAAGGGTAGGGCACTCGTCTCATATGCCAGAGGTGGTGGGTTCAAACCTAGCCTGGCCAAAAACTGCAAAAAAAAAAAAAAAAAAATGCTGCCTGATCTCAGCCCTCCAGCCACTCATGAGTAGTCTTCTCTTGGTTAAGGTCTAAGGTCTTAGGAAACCTCAGGTTTTTAATTTTGTTGTTATATTCCATAACAAGATTACTTGTGACTTTCTTGTCTGGCTTCTGTTGAGCAATCAAGTGAAAAAATTAGCAAACATCAGTTATACATTTTCATTTAAAATACATATAACTAAATCTTTCAAGTAAAAGTACTATGATACATTATTTGGTTCTATCCAGAAATATTACTTAGAATTTCTAATTAGTTAAGAACATATTAACTCTTTTGTGAAGACATTAGTAGTGTAGAACAGTTGAGAAATCTTAGAAAGGAGAACTAGTTACATTCATTTAGTTCCCTATACTGACTATACTATATATGAACTTTTTTTTTTAAAGGAAGACAGTCTCATTGTCAATATTTGCAAAGAAGACTGGAGTACTTTTTGCACATGTATAGGGCTTAAGTCAATAGCATTCCAAATTTACTTTTCTTAAACAGTTTTTGCATTAGTTTGCTACTGCTAGCAAACAGGTTAAATTAGAAATACTCAGGCAAAACGTACGTTAAACTCAATGCTAGCTGCATGTTACCTAGATGTTAGGGATGTTACCATACTTTAAGCAAGATGACTTCAAGTTTTGAAAGTAGAGTTTTGGTTATTATATAGTTCACAGTAAGGCAGTTACATAGGCTAAGCTTGACTGGTGCCATGGACTTTAGCATACCTGGAAATAGAAAAATTCAAATTGTAGCTGTTCTTGGTTGGCCCATTGCCATTTTTGCAGCTTACAAATTTTTAATTAAGTAACTGCAGTGAGCTCATCTCTACTGGATACTTCTTTTCCAGGGCAGGTCCAGGAACTGGGTCTGGAGCCTTGAAAGCAGAAGAGAAACTAGAGTAAACTAGAGGTAGGCAGAACAAGAAATGTGACTAGAAAACATTATCAGATTTAACAGCAGTGAGGCAGTCCCCAAAGTCTCTCACATAAAGTATTCTGAAGTGGAAAAAGAGTCTCTTAAATTGCAAGTTACCAGAGGATGCTATTTTGTTAAATCATTCTCTTAGCCAACTAAACTTTTTTGGGAATTCTCAAGTCTAGAAACTCAAACAGTAGCTTTTATGAAATCACTAATGGCTTTTAGCAACAGTCTATTCAACACAGAGTAACTATAACAGAAATAGATAAGCAACAACAAAATTCATTTTATTGGCAAAATTGGAATTGTAAGGTCTTCATTTTCAGGTCATTTTGCTCTTCCCTTTCACTATCATATTTCCAAACATCTTCTAATTGTTCCCCTAATTTCCTATGATCATTCTCAGGGGGTTCTTAAGAAATGCCTTAGATATACCCAAGAAACGAACTGAAATTTCATGTTCCAATTTTTAAAACTACTTGGTAATTCTTAAAGAGAGAGGCAAAGAACAGCTCATAAGATGTGGTTCTTAACCACACTGGAAAATCTTTTTTCCATTACCAAAATAGATTCAATGATTTAAAAAAAAAAAACAACAAACAAACTTGTTTTTCTAAGGCCCATATAAAAACGAAAACTAGAAACAAACTTGCAACTACAAAGGTTACAGAAATGGTAGGATATCAAAAATGGTAGATTATATTAATTAGATTACCAGAGTCTGGAAAGGATATCCTTATACTTGGTAGGCTGGCACCTTAAGGCCCTAAGAAGTTTCTCTTAGAAAGTAATCCCACAGCAGTCAAAATGAATTGAATTTTTTGCTGCTGTCAAATGATGGCAGATACTGTAGGAATTATATTAAGATCAAAAAATCAAGAAAAGATTAAAAAGAAACTTCCTGCATTGCTAGTCACTAGCAATACAAAAAGCAAAATAGAGTAAAAATAGTTTTTGTGACAAAGGTAAAATTTCTACCTCTTGTCATAGCATGTTATAGGGAAACGAATTTTGGGAGAGAGACGTAGGTTCAAATCTGATTTCTTTCTTTTTTTGAGAGAGAGTCTCACTTTGGCATCTTGAGTAGAGTGCTGTGGCATTATAGCTCACAGCAACCTCAAGTTCTTGGGCTCAAGTGATCCTCTTGCCTCACTTATTCTCACAATAGTGAGACAAGGTCTCACTATTGTTCAGGCTGGTCTTATACTCCTGAGCTCAAGGGATCCACCCATCTTGGCCTCCTAGAGTGCTAGGATTACAGGCGTGAGCCACTGCACCCTGCCCAAATCTGATTTTAATATGGACTTCCATTAAAACTCTCTGCAGAAGTTTCCCTTCTATTAAATGAGATACCACCACACACCTCACTAGACTGCTAAGAGTTTTAGCTAAAGTGTATATACAGCATCCAACAATGTGGTACATATTAGGTATTCAATACATTTTTCTGCATTACTAAACAATGAAGCTTTTTTGTTCTAAACATGTAGGTATACTTATGTTTTAATTTTCATAAATGCCAAAGCAATCACTTATGTAATAAGCTTAAGGGCTAAATAATTCAAACTGCATCACATTCTAAGAGATATAAGTAATTTATCAATACTGACTACAGAACAGCTAGAAAGAGACTACTGGAGAGAGTTCAATTCTGGTGACTGATGATAAATAAAAATAGAACAATTTTCATGTAGGACATAATGCAGTTCTAGTCCTTCTAAGTAAAGTAGAAAATATTTTTGCCAACACACCTCTTATTTAAAGGTTATATATAGATCTGGAATATACTGCCTTTTAAAAAACATAAAAAATAATCAATGCATGATAAACTTGGTCTTTAAGTCAGAAAATACTTTAGGGGCAAAGAAAAGCCTTTCATATGGACAATAATTTTCCTCTTACTGATAGAACAGTGTGTTCCACACAAAATTATTATTTACCAAATATGGCTCAAAGATCAGATTACACCTTCTAGGATGTTACTGAGTAATTATAGCAAGTATCACAAACCACAGGAATTAAAAAATAAAAAGATTTCTTTATAGCCACTGTAAATGTATTTACTACCACAACTTTATTTCAAAATAGTTTTTAGAAGTTAACATGGAAAGCTGGGCACGGTAGCTCATGCCTGTAATTCTAGCATTCTGGGAGGCTAAGCTGGGTGGATTGTCTGAATTCATAGGTTCAAGACCAGCCTGAGCAACGGTGAGACCCCTGTCTCTAAAAAAGCCCAGCACTGTGGTGGGCACCTGTAGTCCCGGCTACTCAAGAGACTGAGGCAAGAGACTCGCTTGAGCCCAAGAGTCTGAGGTTGTTGCTGTGAGCTATGATGTCATGACACTCTACCAGGGGCAACAAAGTGAGACTCTGTCTAAAAAAAAAAAAAAAAAAGTTAACACAGAAATGATTTATTCAAAATAGATCACAACTTACCCAGAGATGATAAGATTAAATAGTATATGCCTCAGAAAGAAAAAAATAAGTAGGAAGATTCCCATTGATTAACAAATATGAATAAGCTTTCAGTTTAAAGACTATCAAGGAAAAAAAACCCACATTAGATAAACTATTTTTGTTTTATAACTAACCATCACATTGAAATCTCATTACTTCCAGTAACATTTTGGCTGATTCTTGGTTTTTCTGGGTATACAATGTCATCTACAAATAATAAAGAATTTACCTCCACTTTTATAACTATAACCATATTAAGTAATTTTTACTGATTATCAGAACTCCAACAAGCAGCAGAGGTAAGATCAGAAATGTGTTCAGTAGCATTCTACCTCCAGGTCCTGATTCCTCCTCCTTTATGGTACTAACTTGACATTACTGATAATTTTGTCCTTGAAAATTCCTTTCCTAGTCAACACTGTGCACTCTTCTAGTTGCCCAGAATCTTTATATCTATCCTTCTATTTCTTAATATGATATTTGCCAAAAGGATGCACAAAGTTAGTTCATTCTTCTACTTGTTTCTCTGGCATCTCATCTATGCTCACAGCATAATCCAAGGAGAATCTCCTTTAAATTGTAGTCTAAGCTTTCTATTCTACTTGATGAAACTAAAACATTCAGAACAGGTTTGATGTTGAAAGGACTCTTGTAAAGATTATCTAGTCCAACATCCTTATTCAAAAGAGAAAAACATAAAGTTGCAATCATGTAAGTCAGCCAAATCTGAGTAAAAGTTTACTTGATAACAGACAAAATCTGCCTATTACTTATGAATCAAAATAAATGCATACATTTATATACAGTAAATATAAATGAAGTAATTAAACACAATTTAAGAGTAATCATTAGGCCTCGCTACATTTTTATTAAAGACATGTCCCTATTTCTAAGAGATTTTTAATTATATAACAAATTTGATATTTGAATGTACTTATCAAAGTGGATTTTAAAAAATCACAGAATGGTAACAAAGTGAAAACCTACTCGATCCTATATGTTTATGTATTAGTTAGCTACATTTTAGATCTTTGAACAAAATCAAGCTACTACCTATACTAATGCTTTCCATCAGGACTGATGTCCTGACCCAGTCTGCAAGAGGCAAATGCCATGGGCTGCTTGCTATAGTACTTAAACAGTACCCGACAAATGGCAGGTACCACCGCTGCTGAACAACTACTACTTGTAAATATATTCACACTATTATAAACATGGCCGCAGAAGGATTCAACCATACAGAAAAAAATTCTGTTAGGGGATGAATACCGCACTCTGCTCCTTTTAGTTTATTTTCCAGGTCTTGTCCATAAGTAGGGTCACAACCTCACTAGCTAAGAACATGTTTCTAACTATTCTCAGTCCAGAAATGCTTCAAGATCTCAATGTGAGTCTGTTAGGCTCCTTGTCAGGTGCTGAAAATGAAGAGCGCATTTTAAAAGGAAATTTTATACCCCAACACTCCCAAGTTTTTAAGCTGATTTAGCTATGAAACAGAATACACAAAAATAAAAGGGAATGTCATGTGAAACAAAAACAAGTTCTTTCCTCTTAATTGTGCTTACATAATTAAATTTAAACTCTTTCCAAATGAGTTTTCTTCTAACCTTCTATTTTGTCAGAAGTAGCAATTTTCTTTTTGGCCTAAAAAATGAAGTTACCTTAAGTTTTCTCTTCTCTTTCTTTACCTTTACCAAACTCCTTCAAATCTCATCCATTTTATAATTAAATTCCTCAAAACACAACTCCTAAGACTCTTGCTGGATGTTACTATTAGTCAATATAGTTCACAATCACTTCCATAGTTCTGAAATCTAAAAAAGTTATGAAAAGGTTATTTCATAAAGCTTCATGGGGAAACTCATCTGGTGGTGGCAAAAATCTGACATGAACTGACAAAAGGTTATTTACAGGCTTGATTTAGCTGTGAATATTTCCAGCTTTCACTGCAGAAATATTAGTGTCTAATTACAGGGTGATGTTTCAGACATTGCTGGAAGAGTTATAGAAGACACATTTCAGCCCCTACAGTACCACATTCTAGATTTTTTTCCTTCTAGTATCTCCTGGAATCCTACTCTATCCCTACTACCATGCTATCCCTATCATGCAACATCTAAATGACCAGACCTTTGCCTATCTCCCTGCTATCAACATCTTTCCACTGGGCTTATAAGTAGAGTACAACTGAGTAAGAAATGTTCCTATATAACCACTTTAAATATTTTACTCAATTGCACAAGAATTTAATAAACTGAAACAGATACGTGGTAAGAGAGAAAGGAGAGTGACTGTGGAATTACAGATGAATTTTTGTTATCTTTTAAAATCTTACTTTCTCTGCAGTTGTAAGCTGAAAAGAGCCCCCCCTTTTAAAAAACCTGTTCTAACTTTAAAATTTTCTAAATTAACTTACATTTCTTTTGTATCAAGACAATAAAAACAAATGAACAAAACTGACTAGGTTCCTTTCCCGCTGATCGCTTTGACCAAAACCCC